TAGAGAAATGCAAATTAAAACCACAATGAGATACCATCTTATCCCGGCATTCCTGGCACGAAATAAACACACTGGAAATAACAAATGTTGGAGGGGCTGCGGGGAGATCGGAACTCTTATGCACCGCTGGTGGGAATGCAAAATGATACAACCATTTTGGCAAATGATATGGCGCTTCCTCAGAAAGTTAGAAATAGACATACTAGATGATCTAGCAATCCTACTCCTAGGAATATATCCTAGAGAAATAAGATTCGTCACTCGAATAGACATATGCATACCTATGTTCATGGCAGCATTGTTCACAATAGCAAAATGATGGAAACAACCTAGTTGCCCATCAACAGATGAATGGATAAACAAACTATGGTACATACACACAATGGAGTATTATGCAACGATAAAGAACAATGATGAATCTGTGAAGCATCTCATAACCTGGATGAAACGGGACGACATTATGTTGAGTGAAATTAGTCAGTCACAAAAGGACAAATATTGTATGAGACCTCTATTGTAAAAACCCATGAAAAAGTTCACACACAAAATGTAACAATCTTTTTTGGTTACCAGGGATGGGAAGGGTGTGAGGGAAATACTAAATAGGCAATAGATATGTAGTATCTTGGGTGAAGGGTGAGACAATACACAATACTGGGAAACCTGCACAACTTGTACAAGGAAAGGTCATGGAAGCTCCCTAGACACATCGAAACTCCCAGAGGGACTGAATTGCTGGGTGGAGGGCTGTGGGGACCATGGTCTCGGGGAACATCTAGCTCAATTGGCATAACACAGATTATAAAGACAATGTTCTACATTCTACCTTGGTGAATAGCGTCTGGGGTCTTAAAAGCCTGTGAGCGCCCATCTAAGATACTCCACTGGTCTCATCGCTTCTGGAGCAAGGGAGAATGAAAAGAACAGGATACAAGGAAAAGATTAGTCCGAAGGACTAATGGACCACAGCTACCAAGGCCTCCACCAGACTCAGTCCAGTATAGCTAGATGGTGCCCGGCTATTACCACTGACTGCTCTGACTGGGATCACAACAGAGGGTTCTGGACAGAGCTGGAGAAGGATGTAGAACAAAATTCTAACTCACAAAAAAAAAAAGACCAGATTTACGGGCCTAAAGGAGAGTGGAGAAACCCCGAGAGTATGGCCCCCAGACACCCTTTTAGCTCAGTGGTCAAGTAACTTCCGAGGTTCACCATTCAGTCGGGGAGTGGACAACCCCATAAAACCAAATGGGACTAATAAGGCACAGCAGTCCAGGGACAAGGGCCAGAAGGCAGAAGGGGAGAGGAAAGCTGGTGCTAGGGAACCCACGGTTGAATAAGGATAGTGTTGATGTGTTGTGAGGTTGTTAACCATTGTCATAGGGCAACATTTGTAGTAACTGTTAAATGAGAAATTATTCTGTTCTGTAAACCTTCGTCTAAAGTGAGAGGAGCAGCAGAATTGGAAGAGCATAGTAGATGTCACTGAACTGTGCATGTAGAAATTTTTGAAATGGTATATCTTTGGCTATATATATTTGTAGCAAAAAAAAAAAAAAAAATGTCGAGAAGGAGAGGGTTGACATGTTGTGGGGTTTTTAACCAATGTCCTAAAACAATATTGGTACTACTGTTTCATGAGAAAGTATTTGTTCTGTAAGCCTTCGCCAAAGTACAATAAAAAAAAAAAAACTACTTTGTAAATGTTTGTGGAATAAATGAATGTCAGGCAGACTACTGCTAGTTTAGTAAGGAGGTCATTTGGTTGTTTTTATGAGGTACCATTAAGTTGGTTTTTAACTCATAGCGACCCCATGTGACACAGTAGAACTGTCCCATAGGGTTTTGTAGGCTATAATCTATATAGGAAAAGATCACCACGTCTTTCCCACAGAGCTGCTGAGTAGGTTCGAACCTCCAGCTTTTTGTTTAGCAGCCAAGCTACCTCCTCAGCTTCTCCTGACTGTTAAAGCTCTCAGTAGTACCATCTAGGTGCACATGCACACTCAGTGCCTTTATCTTAATCATTAGCTTATGGAATTGGAATTATGTGTGCAGATATGAGCCCTCACTAGACAGTACCTACATGAGAGCAGGTAGCCAGTTTTTTTCATTTTTGTGCTAGTAGTGCCTCACAGAGGATCTTATTAACTGAATGGAAGGTATTGTAAAATAAAGATAAAATATGAAAACATAATTGTAAGTAAAACCTCTACTTACAGTAGTATGGCATATCAACTATGAATTATCTTTCTAGCTGGGATTTCTATTTATGCTCTTGCTTTTCCTCAGTTCATTCTCCTCATCTTTTTAAGTGGTAAATCCTGTCATATTAATGTTCCACTTAAAACCCTTCAATGCTTCCTATTAGTCATAATAAAATTCAACCTCTTTACTAAAGCCTGTAAAACACCGTATGATTTCTGCTTTTCCCAACTCTCCAAACTCATCTTCAGCATTCTCTTCTTGCTTTCTAACACCCAGCCATACTGTCTTACATCAGTTTCTAGAATATGCCAAACTTTATTTCTTTGCACCACAAGGTACTTAATACCTATTGCTTTCTTTACTTAAAACACTTTTTTCCTACTCCTCATCTGCTTTCAAATCTCAGAGAGGCCTTCCTTCTTCAGCTACCCCACTCTAGTCAAGCTTTCTTTGCCTTTACATATCCTCTTTTTCCTGCCTCCTTTGGAGGTTACTTTAGTTGCCTTTTGAATTCTCTTCCTAGAAGCTTCTTTCTGGAATGTGTATGTTTTCTTAATCAATCTAATTAAGGCTAATGTTCCAACTTATCTGTAATATGTCTATGACATGCTATATATGCATATAGATTGCTATATGTTATATATGCATATGTATGAGTTATATTATGTACGCATAAAAACAAACCAAACCAAATTTGTTGCTGAGGAGTTGATTCTGATTCATAGTGACTCTATAGGACAGAGTAAAACTGCCCCATAGGGCTTCCAAGGAGCGGCTGGTGGATTTGAACTGCCGACCTTTTGGTTAGCAGCCAAGCTCTTAACTACTGTGACACCAGGGATCCGTGTGTGTGTATATATATATATATATATATATATATATATATATATATACACAAAATAGCTTTTTGGACACTTCCATTTAAATAATCTGTTATAATATTTATAAGTCCCAATCTTACTTTATTATTTCCCTCCTAAAATCTGCTCTGCCGTTTATATTCCCTACCTTGTCACCAGCACCCACTCAACTGTTCACCCAAATCAGAAACCCAGGAGTCACCCTGGATTCTCTTTTCCTTCACCCCTCACATCCAGTTTGTTGCTAACCTCAGCAACATCTCTCAGATCTATCCCTTCTTCATTAGTATCTTACTTAGTTCAGACATTATTTCTTACTGGAGTTATTGCAAACACCTCCAAAATAGTCTCCCTATTACTAGTTTAATTTTACTATTTATTCCACCCCCTAAAGAAAATTCATCCTCCACACTTCTGTCAGAATGCTCTTTCAGATATTCAGTTTTTACCATGTCAACAATTTGTTTAAAATCCTTCAAAGAATTTGCTTCATTTAAAAGACAAACTATAAAAGATTCAGAATCTGATTCATGTCCACCTCTCCTGTTTCATTTCCCTAACCCGAGCTACCTCATACTAGCCAAGTTTTCTTTGCATCTCTCCTCTCCTTTCCTTAAGTTAACTGTAACAAACTAAACATCAGCTGCTCTGAAAAATTTTTTGAACTTCTAGGTCTAAGGAAAAGATCCCTGGGTGGAGCAAACGGTTTGCACTTAACTGCTAACCTAAAGTTTGGCTGTTCAAACCCACTTAGCCCACTTGGAAGAAAGTCCTGGCCATCTGCAAAGATTACAGTCAAGAAAATGTACGGAGCAGTTTTGCTCTGTAACTCATGGAGTTGCTATTAGTTGACATAGACTTCACAGCAAGAGTTTGTTTTTTGGTTTAGGTTTAAGGATCAAGTTAGGTATTCCTTGTACTGTGCTCCCAACCTAACTCTCGGATTCCTCCATAACAGTACTTAGCACTAGCCCATGTGCCCCACCAGACCATGAACTCCCAAAAACTGAAAAACCCATTCCTGCCTGACCTATAGCAACTCTGTAGAACAGAGTAGAACTGCCCCATAGGGTTTCCAAGGAGCAGCTAGTAGTTTCAAACTGCCAACCTTTTAGGTTAGCAGCCAGAGCTCCTAACCACTGTGCTATTAGGGCTCCTGTGAGTGCCTGGGGAACTGTCTTATTACCCACCCTCCTCCCTCCGCACAGTGCTTGGCACAGAGAGGGGAAACTCAAAAGATAATTGAATGAAAATATGAGTGAAAGAATACAGGTGAACAATGATAATTAAAGATTCGGATTCGGGTGGAGACTTTTCAATTAATTTTGCTGCTTTCCGCAGAGGAAATTTTGGTTTAACTCGTCTTCTCTCCATCCAGGACGACAATCCGTGAGACAATGTGCCTGATGTAAACTATTTCTTAAGCAGGTTACTCCCTCACAACCCTAACTGTACCACGGACTAGACTTCATCAGGAAGAAAGCGGCTAGCGACGTGAGGGCCGGAGCTGGTCTCAGTCATCAGCGCGGGTGGCCTCCCTCACAGAGGCGGCCTCCCTCACAGAAGAGGAAGCAGCCTCCCTCACAGAGGCGGCCTCCCTCACAGAGGCTGCCTGGAGCCCACCGCCGGGCCTGGCGTAGGGGGGGGCCAGCCTCGCGCCTCTGTGAAGGCTGTGCATGCGGGCGCGCCCCGTCCAAGGCGAGCCTGTCAGCACCTCGAAGAGGCCACTTGCGGCCTCCCGCGCAGGACCCAATCTCCCGGAGGCGCGCGCGGCGGGTTTAACGGTTCAGGCTCAGTCCGGGCGCAGCCGACCTCGAGGCCCGGCGTCC